TAGAATATGCTGGGAGGCATACAGTATTTAATAGCTGCTCAGCATCTCACAAAAATTAGTTATTGTAGGAATATCACTGATAGATTATGGCTGTCAGGAAGCCCGGGGAATAGAACTTAAACATATATCACTTTTTTATTTTTTTTGTATTTTTGTCAGCCTTTGTTGGAATTCTTACTGAGCAGTTAAGTAAGCAAAAGATAAGCGAAAGCCATAGGAACAAGAGACATAAGGAACTTGTCAAGTTAAATACCCTGCCGAGATGCTCCCTGCTCATTCAGCAACTTCAATTGCTTAGCACTGGGCCCAATCCTGTGGGAGATGCAGAAGCAATATAAGGAACTGGCCACTGCCTTCAAGAATACCTGCATTCATTAAGCAGCAGAGCCTACAAGTGCCATGATGCAAGTGCCTAACGAAGAGCTAGACAAAGACCACACAACAGGGAACCACTGTTGTCTAAATTTGTCCAGAAGTCCATGGGAGGGGCCTGAGCTGGGCTTTTGAGCCTAGGGGGGAGGTGGTTTGGAGCCCATGACCAGAAACATTCCAGACTTAAGCACAAGTTCAGGGTTAGAATTTTAGCTGAGGGCCTCAAGGGGAATAGGAAACTGGTCTAGGAAATTCTGGCAGAGTTGGTAGAGAGACAGGAGAAATCACATTAATAAGTTGTCAACAAATTCAGGCCAAGAGTTTACGTTTTTGTAATTCAGTACATGAAGTGATAGCATCTGTATGTAGGCTGCATAGCCAGGAGGGAGTATTTAGAATAGAAAGGAAGGTGAAATACCACCAGTTGGGGAGCTGTTGTCTGAAATTAGAAATGATGGAAGGAACCTGGATTGAGATGGTGGGGCTGCAAATTAGTGAAGAATTAACTTTATATTACAGATGAAGACATTCAATGTAGAGAAGGAGTGAATATGAAGAGTCTGGCAAGATACAGCAAACATTGTATGTGGTTCAGAAGTATTCAAAGTTTGCGAATATGGCTCAGTGGTAGAGCACTTGCTTAGCATCCTGGCATGTGCAAGACATTGGGTTCAGTCCTTAGCACCACCGGAAGATAGGAGGTTTGGGCACTGGTCACACCTGTAATCCTAACTATTCAGGAGTCGGAGATCAGAGAATTACAGTTTGAAGCCAGCCTGGGTAGGAAAGTCTGTGGGACTATTACCTCCAATAAACTCAAAAAAGCCAGACGTAGGGCTGTGGCTCAAGTGGTAGAGTGCTAGCCTTGAGCAAAAGAAGCTCAGGGATAACACCCAGGCCCAGAATTCAAGCACCAGAACTGACCACCCTCCCCCACAAAAAAAATTTTGTTTAAAAAAACCAGCCAGATGCCTGCTAATGCCTATAATCCTAGCTATTGAAATCAGAAGATCACAATTCAAAGGCCACCTATGCAGGAAAGTCCTTGAGACTCTTTCTTCCAATTAATCACACACAAAAAAAAGCCAGAAGTGGAGCTTTAGCTCAAGCAGTAAAGTGCTAGCCTTGATTTAAAAAAAAAAAAAAACAACTCAGAGACAGCACCTAGGTTCTGAGCTCAAGCCAGAGGACCAGCACCAAAATAAATTCAAGAGCAAAAATTGAGAGTTTGAGCTAGGCAGAAAGACTGTTAGGATCCATCATGACCATCCCAGGGGACCACATGGAGGCAGGCAGGCATGCACAGGAGAAAGATTATTATAACAAAGACAATAAGCGTGGCTCAAGAAAAGTTAAATTGTAGATACTATACGTCACAGACGAGTCATAAAAACACTGAAGTTACCAGGGGAGGAGGAAGGCATACCCAAGAGTCTCTTCTACTAGTCTGGAAACAGAATTAGATTAGGAAAGCTGGCAGGAGGGCCGAAGCCCACCATGAAGACTAGCTGATATTTAGTTGAAATTACTCTTTTGATCAGATTTGAGAAGATTTAAATCCTAGCTACTTGACATAACGGTAAATAATTATCAGGCACTCTAGGTTTGACATAGGAATAGCACTCAATGTGTTACTGAAACATAGATTTGAGCCCTTTGATGACACTTTACTTACATTATTTAGGAATGTTAGATATTTTAAGATTATAAGCAGGTTATCTATCTAATTTATCTACCTATTGTTGAGGTTATTTAAGTAGTACTTAATTGTGTTTTCATTGATTTCTCATTTCTTCCTTGTAGAGATAACTTATCTCTTGTTATATTTTAGACTCTTGGCTTACATTATTTTCATGAGTAATTTTGGAGAAATATAATATTTTATTTGAATATGAATAAAATAGTCCTTGTGAAAAAACCAAAGATAGTCACTTACCAAACAGTATAAGGAGAGATTACTGTTAGAGTAAGGGGTGGAATGAGGGCTTATTTAAGTTCTCATCCAGGTAGGATGTGAATCTTAACACCAGATTTTCTACCATTAAGGAATTGGGTGAATCCTGTTAATCTTTTTTTTTTTTTTTTTGTTGGTCCTGGGCCTGAACTCTGGGCCTGGGCGCTGTCCCTCAGCTCTTCAGCTCAAGGCAAGAGCTCTACCATTTGAGCCACAGTGCCACTTCCAGCTTTTTCTGCTTATGTGGTGCTGAGAAATTGAACCCAGGGCCTCCTGCATGCAAGGCAAGCACTCTACCACTGAGCCACCTTCCCAACTTCTATCCTGTTAATTTTATTACAAGTGGGATCCTCTCTTCTCAGCAGAGGGTATATCATAATCTCTAGAAAGAAAAGTATGTATGAATTCTACTGCAGAGGAGTAAATGAATTGGGCATATTAGAAAATTTGTTGGAATGACCTGTACCAATTCGTTTTTGAGGCTTTTAAAAAAATTGCAGAACGTGCAAATGGAATAAAAACTGTCATCATCAACAAGGGCATATTTTAGGGTAGATGCAAGAATGACACATGAGGCCCTTCATTAAAAGCATGTGCCAGGGGTGTTTCTACGGGTGTACCGAGCTTCAAGGTCCACAATCTCAAATACAACTGAACTCACAAACCTCTTACCGGTCTGCTTGGTGGGAGTCTGGTAATCACCTAAGTAGATCACCGATATTTTTAGGAACCCCTAGAACTTCTTTGTGACAAGAGTTCTAGTACTTGGGTGAGTTCTGTGGCCCTTAAAGACAAGCAGTTCCTCATAAAGAGGCAGACTGTGGGAAGAGTATATAAGCTCATTCCCAGTTTACTTAGCCCATTTTGACATCATCTTTGGTTGTAAAAAAACTTTTTAGATTAGGTCTAGATACAAGTGACAGACTCCCCAAACAATACCGGTTTAAGTAGGATAGAGGGTCAGTGTCTCTTTCCTATAAAAATACGGTAGTAATCAGCCCAGGCTGGTGGGAAGGGCAGGTGGTCTGTCCCACAAAAGTTAGTAACTCAGGTTTGTTCAAAGTTATGCTCTATCAGACTCAAAGGGGAGACTCTCCTTCTCATTGACCAGGATGGTAGCTTTCCCACAACAGAAAGCAAAATAGAATAATTTAAGAAGGTGGGTGGTATGTGCCTGCTCTTCTTCTGGAAGATCACAGAAGCTACTTAATTTTACTTTTGCTTTGATATATTTGCTTCTTTCTCACTGGCCAGAACTTAGCTAGATAGCCCTACCAAACTGCAAGGGATGCTGGGAACCATAGTCTCTCTGCTCTCTGAACATAGTTGAACTGCACGATGTATTACAGGAAAGAAGGGGAGAATAAATATGGAGAAGAAAAGTTATAACCTGTACCTTCCTTTTCCATTCTCATGGCACCATGGTATCAGCAGGTACCCTGAGGAAGGACTTGAAGCAGCCAGCCATAGTTAGATTCCAGAATGCACCTTGAAGTCACCTTGCTTGGGTTTGAGTACAGGTTTTTCTCAGATGCACGGGAGAAGTAGTAATCATATCTTCCTCTTCTAGTTGTAATAATTAAATGAAATAGTGAATTTTTTGGACGTGGAATCTTAACACCTCAGAATCATTTGATAAATGTTATTAGCTCTTATTATTTAAAAGATAAAGCAAAATGTTTTGAGCATTCAAGTACATCTAATTTGGAAAACATATTCACTTTCTTTTCAGGTATGATAAGGTTACAGAGTGGTTCTTATTTTTATTACACTTTCTCCCTTCACAACATTGGCTGAGATGTGCATGACTGGCTGGGTGTGAGGGAGTGATTTGTAACAAATTATCAAGGTGATTTCTTTGCATTTTCCATGTATTTTTCATATTTCACTGACACCACTACAAAATCTCGTACATATGCCATTTTTTTATCTGAAGCATATATTTTACAAGGAGAATTGACCCTTCTCAGGAGAGGCATAGTGAATAGTGGAATGGCTGCATGGGTAAGCCCAAAGCCTTGAGTGTAAGCCCAGTATTGGAAAACAAACAAATCAAAATTCCTACTATCATAGCAAAGTAGGAATTGAGCATCACATCGAGAAGGCAATTCTTGGATCAGTCAAGTTTGGATGGAATGTAGACGGGGTTTGCTATTTGCCCATGCCAGGATAAGTCTGAATTACAGACATAAAGTCAAGCAAAACATAAAAGTGTTAGAGCTGAAAGCATGGCTCGAGTGATACAAAATGTAAAAGTGTGATTGGTGCTGGTGGTTCATGCCTATATTCCTACCTACTCAGAAGGCTGAGATTTGAGAATTAAGATTTGCATCTCCTGGGAAGACAAATCTGAGAGACACTTAATGTCCAATTAACCACCAAAAAACAAGAAGTGGGGATGTGATTCAAGTGGTAGAGCACTGCTATGAGTGAAAAAAAAAAACAAGCAAGCAAGCAGGCTCTGAGCTCAAGTCTCAATACCAGCACAACAAAGTAAAATTAATAAATATAGAACTGTGCTTTATTTAGAAATGATGATACAGACGCAGTGAGTAAAAACATAGCTTTGATAACTGAGATCTAACAATTTTCTTATGATTGCAGACAACAAAGTATTTGTATTTTTATTAATTCCTAAATGCTCTTTTGCTTCTTTTTCTTTCTTTTCTCTAAGCCCCCTCTCTGTTCTGTGGCTTTTCTTTTGTAACTCCTCCAGAGTACAGCTTTGTTCCCCCTTCTTCTACTCCTTTCTGGTCAGGTACTGCTTTACTGCTTTTATATGTCTCTCCAACCTGCTTCTGTTTGCAAATGAAATATTTCCACTCCTGTATATGGCTTCTCATATAGATACATCTCCTCATAGACAATCCCTAGAGCTCCATTACTACCATGCACCTTACTCTTCTCTGTTGCAAAGTCATTGTGTGTCATGACATTTCACTTCTCTGGCTTTTTCAGTGTGTGTTCATTCCATATATTTCAACATGACATTTTATAATGTGTCTGTCGTAGAGGTTGAAGGGGGATGGAGGCTAGAAGTTATAAGAGAGAAAAAGTACTCTGAACAAAAAAAAAAATCAATTGTTCCTTGAGGACTAGAAATTTTAGTTAAGAAAAGGTAATATTTTTGTGCTTCTGTGAAGAAAATGAAAAGAACCCAAGTCATAGAATTATCTCCAAACAGAAGAGTAGAACTCAGTAGATACTATTTAAAAGCAAGACAGGTGCCCATCAATTCTACTATTCTTCACTTTATGCCCAGGCATTTTGGTCTTGATTTGCTAGAGAATTAGATGCTACTGATAGGACTTAGAGAGGACAGTGTTATGGCTAGGGAAAGTATATTGTGTTGCAGGGTTTAAAAAGATGAATCTGTAGATCCCAGTAGAATCATAGAATTTTGAAATGCAAGACTCTAGAAGTCAGCTAGTACAGCCTTTCATTTTATGGACGAGAACAGTGTGGCATAGAGGGGTCAGGGGCCTGTGCAAGGTCACCCAGTTAAGCTGGTGATTGGTTGTTTTCTTTTTTCTTTTTCCATCATGGGTATTTTTATGTGCACTGACTCTTAAGAGCGGTGCCTGAGCAATGGGACAGTTTTCAGTAAGGAAACCATTAAAAGTGGTATGTGTCCTAAGCAGTAAAAATAAAATGACCTATTTCTGCTCCCTTTACAGTTCTGTAACCGACAGCCTTGCCATTCGTTTATCTTATGATCGACACTTGGAGACTAAAAAAACTATCTGTCATTACAAAACCATGAATGATAGGCCAGAGATCCCTGTTGCCAGGTGGGCGGCCTCTCCTGGGATGGCTGGGATCATAACCATGGCCACCTGGGCATTGGGAACTGTGAAAAAATACAGATGGATGGGATTTCCCATTTGTCTCTTTCTTACAACTAAATTCCTCTTACCATTTAAGATTTATAAAGTCTCACCAATCCCAGATGAGTGATTCTCAGAATCACTGAACATATAATTGAAAATACTTTATAACCCCAAAGAGCAACAGGTGTAGAAGTTAATATAAAACGTGTTATAAAGCACTAGAGACTACCAAACAGGAACTGCCTGAAAGTAGTTTTCCTTTCAGAGTAGGGCATACTCCTCTCCTGACATGAAAAATATTCAAACATGCCAACAAAAAAAACTCTGCACACAAGAGGTGAACACCCTGGCATTATGTTGTTGATTAGATGTATCATTACATTTTCTGTAAGGCGGTGTTTCTTCGGAAGGAAGAAGATAGGAGCGGTGTTTGTATGTTCTTTCTGTGAACCCTGCTTCACTCTTCCTCATTAATGAAATTATATATAAAGTATAGTTGAGTTTAACCCTTAATAATTAAGGCAAAAGAGCTTGGGTAGACAGGGGAAGTGGCTGCAAAAAAAAGTGAAATCTGTAAGGAAAGGAATTAACTTGAGAGACCAATTCAAGTAGACAATGATTTCTATATAATGAATGCTTAATTACATAAAAATGGAGGAACTTGTTCTGCCATATAATAATGCAAAATACCTTTGCTCATATATCTTTACTATGTCTTAAATAAATTAAAATACAATTATCCATCCAAAATTTAACTTTTCTCCCCATCACTCTATATGCCTCCATCATATGTCCAGTAAAAAGAAAGCAAGTCCAATGAAATATAAAATAATATTTATCTAAATGAACTGTAGGAAATGGAAACAAGAAATTCTTTTCCTTTTTTTTAAAAGAAGTGATGAGATCAAGCTGATAAACTTTCATCAGAGGAAAAAGTTCAGTTGTTTTTATTATTAGGGGAAGCAGTTATTCAATGAACATGTAATACTTGACCTTAGAGGTTCTAATAAGGAATAGATTATTTATGCTGGATGGTTAATTTTGCTAAAATTAGTACAGATTTTATCTTTCACATTGTAGCTTAGATACTCCCTAGGGTTTTTTAATTATTATTTTACTGGGAAAAAAACCATTTCATTTTAGAAGTTTTTGTGAAGAATATGAAAACAGAATAGTGGCTCTTTAAACTTTATGAAACAAATTTTCCTGCCCCTGATTGGATTGAATCAGCAATTGTGCTGTGTTTTCAAGCTCCTCTTCCATTGTCATGGGTGTGTAGTGAAGTCACGGCTGTGTGTTTGAGAGCATCAATAACATTCATCTGATTAGCTTCTTCTGGCTGGTCACCAGCAGCATGTCAACTCTGACTCTATGGCATTTTTTGTGTTTTGTGTTTTGTTTTTTTTTCCCCCTCACAGTGCTAAGCCCCAAAGTGTTGGGCATTGCCGTCGCTCGGTATGACTTCTGTGCAAGAGATATGAGAGAACTGTCCTTGTTGAAGGGAGATGTGGTGAAGATTTACACAAAGATGAGTGCCAATGGCTGGTGGCGAGGAGAAGTCAATGGCAGGGTAAGGTTTCTCTCCCATGGGCTTGTGTGTGTGAATGGAAGGAGCCTTGATAGTCTTAGGCAGTCATCACATAGGGTAGCCTGCACCCAACCAGGCCCCTTGCCTCCAGAGATGGGGGAGGGGACTGGAGTGGGGATTTGTGCCTTGCTGGTAATGGGCACTCACTGATAATGTATTGAGCACAGTTGATCCAGGTGTAAACCCACCTTAGCAAACGTAATGGCTTCCTGTCTAGAGCAGGAACATTTCGGTTCTTTTCAGAACCTAAGCATTAGAGCATACACTCTGTTTAGTGCCAGATATCTAGAAGAACTGCTGATCTCAAGAGGAAGGGCCAGAGTACCTCTGTTTTTACATCCTATTCTACAGCAGAAATAGGAATGATCATGTAGCTGAGCCCCACATTACATTTAATTTACATACTTATTTGTGTGCCAGCAGCAGATTACTATTTAAGCATATTTTATTCCTCCCTTTCTATCACTCACTGTATTAGGCTCCTAAGAACAGTTAAGCCAGTCTCCTTTACCTACAGTGGGCTTAAAACATCAGCCTTATTGAGGTGCTATGAAAACTAAATGCTCTGTGTGCAGAATCTTTGGAAGTGGCAGGTAGAAAATAACATTGCTATATTGGTTGTTTTTCTTTTGCAGGTGGGTTGGTTTCCATCCACATATGTGGAAGAGGATGAATAAGTTCCAATCCAGCATGGCACCCTGCACCAAATATCTCAGAGAAGGGATAAACAGAAGCCTGCACAGCATTATGAATTAACTGAAGTGTGTTTTTTTTAAAAGCTGCATTTCTGGCTTTTCAACATCCTCCCTCCCTTTTTCCCTCTCTTAAGTCTTAATGCTGGGCTTTCTAAAGATGCTGGTACTGACAGATTAATGGCTTGCCTAGAGCTGTGCAAGAAACAGCCTGCCAGTCTGTCATTGTCATAGACCGGGGCAGAGCCAAAAGTTTTTCTTCCCAAAGGAGCCCTGCAGAACACATTGGTTCAGCTTTCTGTTTATTTCATTGAGTCAGACAACATAAATGTCTGTCATTAGTAAATGTCAGATGCATATTTACTTTCATTCTTACACGACTTTCCCCAAAACTTTTGATGGTACCAAGAAGGAGAAGGTTGATTTTGCCTTTTTCAGCATGAAGAAAAATCACGGAGTTCTGCTGTTTGGAAAAGATCCACCCTGACTGGAAAGATCCAGTATGTCTTGTCTTAAATTGTTCAACAGGTGACTCATTGCCCAGTAAACACTTTTCCCCACAGATGTTACTCATGATAAAATATGAGAAGCAAATGTTCAGGTTTGCACATAAGTGATCTATTCCAAAAGGGTTTTAATTATTCCTTTGATGTCCCAATTACATTTGCAACCTCTTTATTAAAAAAGGGGGGGGTTAGGGGGCAGGAAGGAGGGACAAAACACATGAAGGTGTCTCCACATTAAATCTTCAAAACTTTCATGATTTTATAGGGTCCTATTGGAAATGTCATGCTAGACTTGATGAAATAAGTTTTGGCTGGATTTCTTATCGTGGTTGTTGAGAGCCTGAGTAAGGTGGTATTGTTTACAGAAACTGATCAAGGGCTATAATCTAGAGTAAATCTTTTTTATAACAGCAATATCAATTAACACATGCCTTTCCCCTACTAGAGAGACCCCAGAACATATTGACTGATTCCCACATTTTCCTCTGAGTGTCTAGAGTTGCACAAGCAGCTTTGCTGAGGATTTTGGAAGGAAAGCATATTTGGGCTTTTTATGTATTTCAGGGCCAGAAGGAAGATCACTAGATTTTTAAATTAAAAAAAAAATTTTTTTTGCTTCCAGGTCTTCTCAGTCTTCTCTTCTGAAATCTGTCCTGGGTGTATCTTAACTGGTGGGTTTGATGAGTTTCACAGTGCATTTCTTTTTCCAACCCTTCCCTTTATGACATGAGGAGTCTCTATATATATTCTTCCTGGAATGCACTGAGTTCCCAGTTAAGGCAGTCAAGTTCAGACACTACCTTATCCTCCTAGCTGATGCAGTATTTCCTCTATTGCAGAAGTCATGTTCCTGACAAAATTCTGAGTGTTTCTTTCTGGGAATAGCAGACATTCAAAACACTCACCTCATAGAGCCAAACTAAGAGCATTCAGTTGTGAAATGTCTTGATCATCTCTGAAATGAGGGAGCTGTGGTCTGCCCTCTCCCCAACCCACTTGGGGTGCCTACCCTGGGTGTTCTGTGGACACCCCTCTCAATTAGAAACCCTCATGGGCTAGGCCTTCTCCTCTAGGATAGATTCAAGACCTTTACCTCAGAATTATGTAAACTGTGATTATGTTTTAGAAACAATTATTCTTTGCTAAAACTAGACTTTTTGTATATGTGTAAATGATCATGAACATGTATTTTATAAAGTGTCCTGTACAGTAAACTTGCCCCTGCCCACGTATATATTTTTGGAAAGGATTCTTTCTCCTCAAGTCTTACCTGTGACTCTGTCTCGAGAATGTTTCCTCTGTTATTGTCAGCCAAGAGGTTGCTATGGAGAAAGCACAGCATCCCACAAATTAAGACACTCCTGTGTAGAGTACTGTAGCATGTATTGTTTATTCTGGTCAGTGGACTCCCCGCCTTCCTTATAAATGGTGTGTGGTCTTCCTGTTGCATTTCATTGGTTGAGGGGGTTCATAGCAGAGGATATTAGAAGAACTCCTCATGATATTACCAATCACATCTTTGGTCTACGTTTCATACTTTTTATTGGAGACTTCAAATGTTGTAGATTTGTGTAGATTTCTAATACCAAAGACAGAAGTAAATGGTTTCCATGTACTATGTTTTGCCTGTATGCAGCCTTCATGTACTAGGCGAATTAGAAACGTATCTTATTTTGTAATATATTGTAAATATGTCAATACAATAAATAGTTACTTCTTACCTGTAATTGATTTTGTGAAGGTTGAAGATTCTTTCCACTAAACCATCTCATAACTCACATACTCCTAACATCATAATTACAAGCCCTGATTTTGGTCAAGTGTAGGTCGGGATTACTGCCTAATTTATGACTCATCAGCCAAAGAAAATCTCAGTAGTGAACTGCAGCATCTACTGACAGGCCTGTGATGTTCCCACCACCCTTTTCAGAGCCTCCGGTGTACTTACCATGACTCTGGAGGGCAGAACTTCACATTGTCTCCTTTCTCAGATGAGGAAGGTGAGGGCTATCAAACCCTGCAACTTTCCAGAGACCACACAGATGGCTGGTAAGTGCCAGAGTCAGTTTCCAACTTGGGAAGGTTGGCTCCAGAGCCCATATAGCCACTACACTGTCCTGTCCCACACTTTCTAGGACAAGAAGTTAGGTATGTGGTAGGCTTTAAGCTCACATAGCCAAGAGGAAACTAGTACCAGTAGTTTAACCAATTGAAGATTTAACAGGGAATTCAGAATTTTGTTATTCCTGATGCCTAAACAGATTCTGTTTAGAGCAGTAGGGATCAGAGATGGAATTCCTTTACCCTCTTTTGACTTACCCTTTGCAATGGAATTCAGGTTGGGAGGCAAACTTCTTCCGCTGACAGAGTAGGGTGTCAGGTTCTCAGTCATGGATGTGCGTTTGTCTTCTAAGGACTAAGAGAGATGTGTTCCATAGTAGTAATCTCTATTCAGTGTCACCTTCCCAGGGTATGCAGGAAAGGAGCTCTCCACACTTGCATTGCAATGCAGTGTGTCCTATAGCTCCTGTTCTTTTTACTGGAGGAGCTGATTCTACAGGCATCTTTATAACTTCACTTTGACATAAGAACATTTCTATATAACTCTTAGATTTAAATTCATCATCATCATCATCATCATCATCTTCCTGACCACTGCCAGTTGTGCCTGGGAAGTGCTCGGCTCACGTGTCAGGTTACATGGGAATACAGTCCTGGTGACACTCATATATTTGGTCTTGTGTCAAGTAATTGGTATGTGTCAGTGGTTAGTGCTTTGATAGCCTCTTTAGTTCTTGGACAGTTGGGAAGAAGGGGAGAAGGCATGGGCCAGAAGTCAGACTGACTACTTGGTATCAGTTACCCATCCCTGCCAGCCAGACCTCAGCCAAGCAATATCATCATTGTACCTAATTCCTAGCATGGTGAAGACTCATGGGACATCAATATATGTAAAGTGGAATTGGGTCTCATTACTGTTATCAGATTGACTTGCTAAATATTTGTATAGTCACCATCATTTTATTAATTCCAAAAGCATAATTCAGGCTCATATATTAGGTGAAGGTAGAAAATCCTTAAAATTCGAAGTTAGCCTGTCTAGGAATGGAATTAGACTACTTGATATCACAAAACAAGGAGAATTTTAGCATCAATTAGGCCTGATCTCAAGCCCTAGGTTTGCCATTGAGCATCAATTTTCTGAGCATCAATTCATTTTCTGTACTAAAATTAATAAAGAATGAAATGATTGTATAACTATGAGAGTTTGAAAGGGCAGTTGTGAAGAATAACATGAACATGACACAGTAGTCAGTCAAGAAATGTTGGTGTATGGGGTTAGAAGTGTGGCTCAAGTGGTAGAGTACCTGCCTACTGAGTACATAAGGCCCCGAGTCCAAACCTCACTACTGCAAATGAATGCATGAATGAGTAGATGATTGAAGGAAGAATATTGGTCTTCTCTTTATGAACTGTAAAATAGGTATATATGCTTGCTGCCTTTATTCTGAATATAATTGAGAGTTAATGCCTTGTTTCTTATGATTTAATTTTCAATATTTATAGGCAGAATGAAAGATATTCAAGAAGATTACTATGCAAACCCACAAAGAATCTCAGAACTTGAATTTAACAGCTCCATATGATTTCAAACTAGGAAAATAGAATTTTTCTCCCAGCTCAAAAGCATTTAGACTTAGTTCATTAGTCTCTTCATTTTTGCACTGAAACTAGTTTTCTGGGATTGGCTGGATTCTGATGAGAAATGTTATGAACCTGTCCGGTCTAGCAGACTTTGGAAAGCACTTAATTGTGAGTAATGAATAAATCTCAGAATGGAGGTCAGAAAGGAATTCTCTCTCTCATTAGGTAACATTGATTAGAACAGATAGTAGAAAACAGTGGACAGAAAAACAAACTTCTTTTGAATCACTGTGGACTCTGGCTCTGACAGAATTGCTAGGCACTGTGTCTCTGCCAATAATGACTTAGGCTCGAGGCCAGAGGATTAGGGGCCTCATTGCTAAGATTCAGGTTGACCCTCATGCCCTTCCTTTCATGAGGAAGGTGAACCCCAGGATGGCTGTGTTCAACCTGTGATCTGGCTTGCCCACGATCATACAGATTCAAAAAAAAATCCACTGGTAAAGTAAAGGCTTGTCCTGGCTATAGGTCAAACAATTGCTTCCTGATTTCCTCTATGATTTTTTCCCTCTGACTTTCTAGCATTTTCTATAATTCCTACAGGTTTTTCTCCCCCCCCCCCCCCAAATAAGGAAAAGAGATGTTCAGAGAGTCCCAGACCAGGTAGAAATGTGACATGTCACAGTCTCCTTCTGTTGCTGTCAGTTTCTATCAATAAGATTTGAGATATGTCAGTTGATTTAATAATGACTCAGGAGTCTGATCAAGAGTATTTGTGGATTTTCTGGTAATCAGACCAACCCTGTCACCAAAAGGGAAGGCTGGTTTTCATTTGTTGTTTTTATTCTCAGTGATGACTACCGAGCTGTCTCCTCTTCGCACTGTGCCGGTTCTTTGCCCTCATAGGTTCCACACACTCCACCAGGCATTTGTTATACAATATCTCATTTAGTTCTTGTAATCCTTCTGAGAGTCCATGAAAGACTGCCATCATCACACCTTTCACTCAAAAAGTCTCTACTCCTAGTCCAGTAACTCTTTTGTTTTACACCTAGGCTGGTTTTGTTTTCTAATAAAGCTATTTGACCTGTTTTATTCCTCTGCTGGGTCTGACTTCTTGTCAAAGATAAAGCAAACTCATGGTTAAAGTTCAGCCTTAGAGCCAGTTTATCTGGCTCTATTACTTAGCTTGCTAGCTGTCATTGGCAAAGTTGCTTTCTCTGCTTATTCCTGTTTCCCCAAGGTTAAAGTGAAGTGATGCTTGTAGCTACTGCAGAAGAAGTAAATGATGTAACGTGTAAAATGTCAAAGAAGGACCTGGTAGAGAGTAGACAGTCAATAAAGCAAAACAAAACCTGTTTTTTATAAATGGTTTTTTGGCCACCATTTAAAATATCTGCAGAAAACTAAATGTGTGTGTGTGTGTGTGTGTGTGTGTGTGTGTGTGTGTGTGTGTGTGTTTTGGTACTAGAACTTGAACTTAAGGCCTGGGCACTATCATTTAGTTTATTTACTCAAGTCTGGTGCTTTACCAGTTGAGCCCCAGCTCTACTTCTGGATTTTTGCTGATTAATTGGAGACAGACTTATCTCCTGAGTAGCCAGGATTATAGATGTTCAGCTTTGAAGTTTAGTTCTTTGTGGAAAACAACAACAAAACAAAACCTCAAGGTTTATTGATCAGTGCATCTTGGTCAGTGTCGCTCCTTTCATTATTCTCCCCACCTCTCCCAACACCACCCCTCCCCACAGATTTTTTAAGTTAACACAGGTATAGGAGGAATAAAAACACTCCCTTTCATTTTACACTAGCCTTTGGAAGATACATTCTTGAATTAACAGGTCATATGATTGAATTAACAGGTCATATTAGTAAGGCTTTAAAACTTGGGCACAAGTGGAACAAATCACTCTATCAGAGCATAGGGTATCAGCAACCTACTGCTATGTCACAAATTGCTCCAAAAATGCACAGCTGAGAACACAAACACTTGTTATTGCATTCCAGGGATCAGGAATGAAAGAGTAGATTACTTGGATATTTTTATCTTAGTGTGTCCTATGAGGCTTTAGCCAAGGTGTCAGCCAAAGCTAGTTACCTCAAGACTCAGCTGGCATTGAGGAAGATCTATTACCAACCTCCCCCACCCATGTTAATCACATGGCTACTTCAACATGGCAGCTCCTTCCAAGATAAACATCCACAAGTGAATGAACAGGAACACTCAAGATGAACGCTCATCTTCTTGTAATATTCTTAGAAATGGCAGGCAATCACCTCTATTCTCCTGTGTTCTTAAGTATTGAGTTGCTAAGTCCAACCCTCTCTAGGGGAAGGGATCACACAAGGACAAACATCAGTAGCAGAGGGCTTCTTGGGAGCTGTCCTCATGGCTGCCTGTCACAGATGGGTAAATCCCAAGGTCACTGAAGGCAAGTAGGAAGCTTTACAGAAAGACATTGATTACTTTGGAGAAATGTAGCTGATTGTAGAGTTCAGTTCATGTACCGGGGTTTGAACTCAAGGCCTTTGTGCTTGCTCACTTTGCTTGCTCAGCTAGTGCTATACCACCTGAGCCATGACTCCAGCACAGCTTTTGGAGTTTTACCTCCTGTGTAAGCTTACAAGCACCAGCCACCTGCGTCCATCTTTAAAAGTTTAATTCTTTGTTTAAAAAAAATCCCCTTTGATGCCTTAAATCCATATTTACTGAGGTCAGCTCAATACCAGCTCCTAAATGGAGCATAAGAATGAATCATACACAGGTGTCTCACTGAGACTTTTCTCATTTAAAAAATACCCTTGTTGAGGCTCACAGTGTTGGGTGAGACAAAAGGAAGTCGCTGTGGAAAATTCCCTAAGTAGCCATGAAGTCATTCATTCATTCATTCATGAACTCAACTAATATGTTTTGAGTTTCATCCAAGCACTCCACAGTTCTAGGCTTCAAGGATACCACAACAAACCTAATGGGATTCTTCTATGGATGGAACTACTGATTGCAGATGACAATAAGCAGCAGGTAGATGAATCATGTTAGATAGTGGTAAGTGTGGTTGAGAGTGGAAGAAAAGGGGAAGTG